TGAAGACACCACGGAAAACCATGGCGCTTACTCACGCGAGGCAAATGACTGTGTAATTAGGGAGTTGCGGTACAGGTCTGCAGAGATACGCAACAGAAACCAGTTTCTGGTAGAAACCCTGGTACAAAGCTCGGTAGCAGAGGATGGAAGGAACCAAGCAAGGGAGATGTTGTCTGCGTTTGAAGCGCAAACCCCAGCATTTTCAAGGTTTTCGGGGAGAAATGAATCATGATGGAAACTGGCAGGAGAGCCAGAAAAAAGATCGGTTTGCACCAGGCATGGGAGGTGAAGCCACCTACAAGGCTTTTATCGGAAAGAAGAGTTTTGAGCGGTTCTGGAAACTGTTTTGTTGGGGAGCGATTTTGTAATTCGTCCTGTTTGCGTTTTCTGTTCTGGGTGGAAACCTCGGCTCTTCTCTGTTGAACTCCTTTGTGTGCTGTTTTACGTACTTACCGAAATGTTGCTGCTCACCTTACATTCGGGCTTCTCTTACTATTAATCCCGTCTGTAAATGTTTGGCTCTTTTTAAGAAGGCTCCATTTATTAGATGGTTTGCATTTTTAGACCTTTTTTTTTTTTCAAACTTTTAGAGGTTTTACTAATTAGCAAAAGATTTGTTACTGGGGTTATAAGAACTGTTGTAAATGGGGCTTTTCTGGGTGTGTCTGCTGGCTTGACGGAAGGTGACGCTTTGCCACACACTCCCCATGTTACCACTTAAAAGAAATTCACTCCTGGCAGTTTAGAAGCACTGAAAGCATAAAATGACAATAGGGGTTTTTTTTTTTACTTTTTGATTCTCTTCACTCCTCTTTTTTAAGTACAGATTTGCTTTGCAGGAAAAGCCTCAAATTAAATTGTCCTTAATGTCTGACATTCTTCTTTTTTTTTTTTTTTTAAAAGCTTTTCAGATACCTTGGAGATGGCGGACGATATGGCCATAGATATCCCCCACATTTGGTTGTACCTAGCTGAGTTGGTGACCCCCATGTTAAAAGAAGGAGGAATCTCTATGAGAGAACTTATACAGTAAGTAAAGCTGCTCTTTTCCAGCGTTGGGGGAGCTGAGCTCTCTACCTGGCCCCACTCTAGCATTTTCACAGCATGGTTCCCATCAGTGGATAAAAGACGAGCGGCATTTCGCCTTCTCGTACGGGTGGAGAAAATGCTCGCGGCACGGAGCAAGCGCTGCGGGGGAAGGTTGCTCGCTGCTCTGTAGTCGCCAGGCAGGAGCACAAGTTTTATCCATAAATCTTCTTCAATCCTGTTTGTTTCGGCTGAGCTGAAAAATACCCCGGTGGTGGGCGGTCAGAGTCATTCGAGAGCGCGCTGAGGCTCCGAGACTTGGATTTGAGGAGAGCGAGGTGTCGTGCAGGAGTCCTTGTCTCGGAGCTGCCCCCTGGGCACTGCCTTAAACAGGCATAAAACCTTCCCTGTGAGGCTGGGAACTGCCTCCAGGACCCGAGTTTCTGCATTTTGTGCGTGTCCTGATATACTTCGGGATTAACTAGAAGCCAGTTGAATGGTTCCCTTTTCCTATAAGCAGTGAATTCAGTAGCCTTTTCCCAAAACAGGGGTCTTGCTCCTTGAACACCGCATCCAAGAAAAATGAGTGGATTTGACATAACATACGAATAAATTTTCTAGTTAGCCCTGTTGCAACGAGTGCGCTGCCTCACTGAGGTGTGTGTTGTGAGCTAGATCAAACCCTTTACTCCTGGCAGACTTTAAAGGTGATTTCCTGCCTTATGCTGATCCCTACCCCTTGCCTTGCCTTCCAAGGGAAAATAACGTGTGATTGCGGTTTTATTTTCATTCTAGAGAATTTAGCAAACCTTTGCTTCCTGTGGGAAGAGCCGGCGTCTTGCTTGCTGAAATCTTGCACCTTCTATGCAAACAAATGGTAAGTGTCCGGGCGTCCCGCTCGTACATAAGAGCTGGATGCGGCGAGTACGTGTTCGTGCATAAAGCTTCTACATTTCCCACATGAAAATATTTAGGGATGGGACCAGCTAGTCCAGATAATGTAGGAAACCTGCTTCTTCATCCCCAAACCTGATGAGGTTCCAACAAGTTAACTTTTTTTCTGTTTGTTTTTTTTTTTTCTCTCATCACTTTCCCTTTTGCAGGTACCTTTGTACCTGGCTTCTTCCAGAAGCTAGAGTGTTGAAATACTGCAAGTGGGACATTCTCAAGGTATTTCTGGGCTGACCAGAAGCAGCAAGTGCCGGAAATCTTGCGAGAGAGCTGTTCTTGCAGACCGGAGGGGTTCTGAGGGTTCGGATAAGCTTCAGCCGGCCTCTCAGACTTCTGGGTGCTTATCCAAGCTAAACCTGCCGACTCTCTCAGATTCACCCATCACTAGGGGTAGTGACACCTTTTCACCCTGTGACTTTTAGAGCTCTCTTACACATCTCACAGTTGTGTGTCCAAACAGTTTGGTGGTTTCCCTCTAGCTCTGTCTCCGTTTTTTGTCTTTTTTTTTAATCCAGCTAAATACTGCACTTCGGATAGTGTCAATTTTCAACCCTGTAAAATCCCTCACTTGCCTTTTTTTTTTTTTTTTTTTTTTAAAGCATGCATTCAAATAAGGTTGAGTGTTGCAGGAACGTTTCAGTCTGGCAGTGCAAATAGTGACTTTTTATTTATTTTAGTCTTATGCTTTAGACAATCGACTCCCACTTATTTTTTTTGATCTGTGAAAGAAAAGCTGCTCTAGGGGTTGAAGCGTTGGGTTCCTGTTTTCTGCCACAGCTTTCGAATTTGATCTCATCCAGGCCAGTACTTGGACTCGGGTATTTCACTGTAAAACCAGTTATCTAATTCAAGTCCTGATGAATGATAGCCGGAACTATGCACAATTAGCCCTTAATGTTAACTTAAAACGGCAATTGCTTTGTAAACTGCTAATCAGGCTGCTTTTATCAGGGCTTAGCTTAGGCTACGCACCAATCCCCCTTGTGCGGGTGCAGTAAGGTAAAAGTTTTGGCAAAGCATTTGGGTGAAGAGAGCTCGTTGTTACTGGGGGATTTATTCTCGTCAGAATTGTGTACGTGCCGTCTTAGGCAGGATACCGAAAGGTCGGCGGGACATTCGAGGGCGTGGAAGGCTGAAAGGCACCTCTTCTCAGGGAGTTCTAGGAACTGAAGAGTGAACTCAGTATTACGGATCTGAATTCGAGGCTTGATCTCTGTGCGGAAAACAGCCACGTGAATAATTATTTTGCAGAAGTAGCTAATTTAATTTGTGGGTGCCTTAGTGTCAAGGCAGGGGGAGAGTGAATCACGGAGTAAGTTGATGACAGAGTCAGGAGAAGAATCTAAGTCATCTCACTGGCAGCTCTGTCACAGCCCTGGGAAACTGCGCCCGGTTCAGCTCTGTCACTTTTTGTAGGCAATCTCGGGCTGAAGTCATTGCGAACCCCACGGGTCACGTTATGCCTTGTTTATTACCCATCACCGTGGCGTCTGACCACTTGACAAGATGTGTCTACCTGTGGCAGGATTGCTTATATAATTTCTCTTGCACGGGGTTTCCGGAGGTTTTCACTTCATTGCGAGGCATCTTGTTCGGTGGCTGAGCGGTTTCTTTATTTCTTCTGACACAGCTGCACCACTCCGGCTCGTGTAAGCTCCCCCGGCTGCCTCTCTGCTCTCTAAAATGACCAAACTGTTTGTGTTTTAGAGCCATAAGAAAGTGGGAGCCTTATGGAGGGAGTCTGGCCTCAATTGGAAGGACTACTTACCCGAAGGGGAGGATGTACATACCTTTCTCACGGAACAAGTGAGTTCAGAACAAGCACCTGCTTCACGATTTTGGCACGTCAGTTTTCACACCCACGTCCCCTGGGGTCGTCCTCTCCCATCCCATTCCTCTGTGTAGTTGGCGTATGGGACGTGGAGTGAAGGGTCTCCCTCACCAAGGCTTGTCCCCTCCAGGCACGCATCTTCCTTCCGCCAGCTTCCTCTGGGTGATCTCTCTGTCCAGCTGAGGGGAATGAACTCAAAAGAATGAGTTTTGCAGCAAGGGGAGACCATCTGCAGAAGGGCCAGAATAAATGATAGCAATTATTCACACATCCCACCCTGCATCACGGTCTGGGGCAACCAAGAGGAGCCAGGCCTGGTGGAGGGCAGCTCTTGCTGGTGGTGCTCCTAAGGAAGGAGCTGGAGGTCTCCCTGTGGAGCTCCAAGTAATCCACTGCTCTCTTTTAGCACTTAGGGAGCGCTGCGCTGCACGAAATGAAATGGATTAGCAAGGCCCGGGGCTTGGTGAGGTCACCGTAGATCCTCTGTGGCGTTTTGCAGTGAATTGGGGCGTTAGCTGCAATTTTGTGGAGCGAATGTCGGCTCTGGTAATTGTGTTCCAGCTCCCCGTCGTTTTAGTTGAGCAACACGCCCTCTGTTTTGTAGAGGGCTGGAGTTGCTCCGAGGTGCGTGGTTGTCTTCACTGGATAATGTCGTTGCCATGTGTAAAATGTTTTGGATCTTCGGGATGGAAAAAGCATGTAAATGGTTGTAATGATGACTTTGCAGCTGAAAGATGACAGGAAGCAGGATGAAGCGTCGCTCTCTGCCTCGGTTTGGTGTAGTTCAGCACAGGGAAGTGTATTTAACTAATTCTTACCATCCCTTCTGATGTTGCAGAAGTTGGACTTCACGGAGTCCGACTGTTCCAGTTCCTCAGAAGCACTTTCAGAGAAAGAACTCTCTGCGGAAGAGCTGAGCAAGCAGCTAGAAAAACTCATTGTTGAGGACAAGGCGAACGATGAACAAATCTTTGACTGGGTAGAGGTACAAAGACTATTTCCACCCTCCCCGCGCACCATTCGTTAACTGCTTTTGCAAATAATTTCTCGTCTGCAGGCTCCCCCCTGGGCATAGGGCACTAAGAGGATTAGGTCTGTGCAATCAACACTTCCAGAGAAGTAAAATCTAAAATATAATCAGTCCGTTATTTCCTAGTAAGCTTTAGAAGAAAGAATTTTAGCAGTATTAGCATGCAACTGTGTAACTGCTTTTTAAATACTGTAGTTCTGTTTGTACTTGCCTTTTTCTACTGGCTGACACTGAATTCTGGCTACTGGCTATTTTGACACTGCTTCTGGCTACTTACTACATTTTATGTGGGGTACACTGCTACATTCTTTCCTTTCAAACTACCGGATAAAAGCTGCTCCTGGCTTTTTGCAACATGACCTACGCAGATTTCCCCTTGACATGCTGCAAAAATGTCCTGGGCGGTCCCTGAGGGCAGTGTACCTCTCCTGGTGTGCTGGACCAGGCACTGTAAGAAAAAAATAAAGAAAAAGGGAAAAAAGGAGGAGGGAAAAAAAAACCCTGTCAACGCACTAATCTTTTGCCCTCTGTCTCTGGCTGCAGCCTTTAAGCCGAATATTTAGTCTGGCGTCTGAAATCATACCCAGCCTGATTCATGTAGGTCTGTGCTCACAGCTAAATCTTGGTCGGCTTCGTTTCAGTTATTTCTGTTGCGGGAGCGGCGCGTTAGAAATGTCATTTTTCTACTGCCCTCTGAGAATTCACGAGCAGGATGAGAGCAGCGCTGCAAATCTGGGGACACTCACCGGCTCGTTGTAGCCTCGGACAAGTTACACGGCCGTTCTCTGAATAACTCCTGCCAAGCCAACAAAACTCCACCCAAGGAGCATGTTGTAAAATTTGTTGAAAAAGCCTAAAACTCTTAGAAAATAGATAAGGGCATTGGTGAAGCCAAGCATTGTCGGGTTGGTTTGTTTCTCAAGCCAAATGACTCGTTGTGGGAGTAGTTAATGGGCGTATGGAGCACAAGAGAGCTGCTCTGCGTGTCGACGTGCCTGAGCTGGGTTTGAGAAGCAGATGGCGAGGCTGAGCCCTCGCACAGGGGTGAACTGGGTTTCTGCCGCAGCAGCTTTTGCTGAACTCGAACTTGCTGCCAGATTCAGCGGTGGAGTTCGGAAGCGGTTGCTCTCCCGCAGTGGCGTGTTTTTAACTGGTCTGTTTGCTCTTGATTTCAGGCTAATCTAGATGAAAGCCAGATGAGTTCACCTACATTCCTTAGAGCTTTAATGACAGCAGTTTGTAAAGCAGCTATTATAGGTGAGTAACCACGGTACAAACGAAACATGCAGAGAATTATTTTATATTTTTCAGGGTTATAGCGCTTTTCCCTCCCTCAAGGCTTTTTTTTATCGCACACTAAGACTTTCACATGGTACTGAACTCCAGGGCTGGAGAGCAGGGTCTCCGTTCCCCTGGGGCAGCCGGGCACTTCGCCAGTTACGGCAACCTCGAGGCCGTGGTGTGTCCCAGTGACCTGATGTGAGGAGACCTTTCAGACGACTCTGAGTAACACCAGTTCATTGATTCTTCTGGGGAAGGTGGAAGTGCACTAGACATTATTAAGATAATTAACATTTCCACTCTTGTGTCAGCAAGTACGCGTGGGCTCTCTGCAATCATGAATTGCCATGTGCGAGCTGGAAGCGTGGGTTGCAAAAGAGAAGCCAGCCTGCATCTCTCTCTTCTTAATAGTTCTGTGTACGAAGTTGTAATTTTGGAAAGCTGGTTTGTGTGGATGAGTTGTCGGGCAGTGGGCTGGAAGCGGAGGAAAGGTGGGTCCCCAGGTGAGCTGTGTGAGCCTCAGACCCTCGGGGCGGCTCACATGAGGTGCTGCAGCCAGAAACACCTGGTCTGTTCGCTTTGGTTTCTTTACCTTTAGCACTGGCAGCTGGCAAGGCGAGAAACGGCACTTGTAACGCACCTGGTCCTGCTCTTAGCTGTAAGGTCGCGCTTGGTGGAGAGAATGGTCTGAACTTCATCTTGTTGCGAGGAGCAAAACAGCCCAGCTGCCTTCTTCTGCCTGAGAACAGAACCTTCCTGATGCCACCTGCTGTTCATGGTGGAATGACACAGGACTCGATTGCAGATGTTTCAGGGTTCCCTGATGTGTTTCAGGAATATCTTCTGCTTTGCATTTGGACTTTGCCTCTAATTGAGGGGTTTTTTGCTTTTGTTTTCAAAAGATGATGTAATTGTGTTGCACAATTTACTTAAAAGCTGCTGAATAATTTAACCATGTTTCTGATGGACTTCTGGTGCATGTTTTTATATGTTCCTGATTTCCCCTGTCATATGCAGCCTATGATTTTGTTTCTGCCTTAGTGTTTTTAGAAAGAAAAAAAAAAAGATATAATTTTCTAAAAACCTTGTATATAGCTGAAATTTTAGCCCTAGCCATGGTATGTGCTTTGGACATCCAGTTGCCTGCGGCAACACAACGATTTGCACTTGCAAGGTTGGAATTCTTCTGCGTGTGTCAGCAGGTTAGGGCCAGGATCCCTGCAGGTAATGATTGAAGTTGGGAAACGAGAGAAAACAAGGCTTTTGGAAAAAGCCGTTGATCAGAAATACTTCCTGTTGTTTGTCTTTTTGCTCCGTGCTAACCTGTATCTGTGGTTTCTATTTGGACAAGCAAAGGTGATGAAAGATCCGCCCCTCCTGCAGTGTGCCAAAGCTGCTGACCCTGTTTTCTTCTCTTGCCCTCAGCGGACTCTTCTAGCTTCCGTGTGGACAACGCTGTTATCAAACAGAGAGTGCCCATCTTACTCAAGTACCTAGACTCGGACACGGAGAAGGAACTACAAGCACTTTATGCACTACAAGCATCAATAGTAAAACTTGATCAGCCTCCTAGTAAGTGTCACCTGCGCGCTGGGGGTTTGAACTCTGACAGTATAAGGAAAGGTTGTTTCTGCGGGAGTAAAGTCTAGTGGTAGGGACTGGGAGAGGGAGCTTCGTACCTTCGTACAGAGCAGATGAGAGAAAAGAGCGTGCCGTGGCTTCTGCTTGTCCAGATTCCTGCTTTTAGAGCAGTGCGGGTCCCCAGATGCTTGGTGAGAGGTCGGCTCTTCTCTTGGTTACTCCTGTGAGCAGCCACGCAGAATAAAGAGTTAACAAAGAGTAGTGGGGGGAAGAGGAGTAAGAAAACAATCAGTTGAGTTTACAATACCTGGACATAGGAGAGCACCGGGTGTTGTAATTCCATTGCCGCACCATAGACATCTGTGGACTTGGAGGGAATAAAATGAGTTGGGCAACTGATGCGTCTTGTCCCAGAGCCCCTGCAAAAAACATCTTGGACAAGAGGCAGAGTTGCCAAAGCGATGAGGATTCCCAGGAAGTCTGGGGGACAAAATCAGAGTGCCCAGACACACTCAGCTCGATTGTCCTCAGCTTTAAGGCCTTAGTTGTCCATTAGTCCTCCTGCTGAGCCGCGACAAATCAGGCGTTGGAGAGGAGCCAGGCTTGCGCGGTGCAGCGAGGGGAGGACGGGCTGCTGTGGATTCTGCTTGCCGGCCAATCCCTAGGCAATACGTTCCCACGGCTGCTTTTCCTTTTTCGGCAGAGCGCTTGTTACCCGAGGGCATCAGAGGGTCCCTCTCAGCTGTGTGTAACCAGCCAGGAAGCAATAACTCAGTAACAGACCTTCCGTTTACTTGTATCTGCCTCTCTTGCACTAAAGGTCACGTTAATCCCCTCATCTGGAACCGCGGCTTTGTCCGCCGGCTGAAACCGCGCAGCGCTAACAGCTGTTCTCTCCCGTTATTCCATTATTGCAGATTTGTTGCGGATGTTTTTCGATTGCCTGTACGACGAGGAGGTAATATCGGAGGATGCCTTCTACAAGTGGGAAAGCAGCAAGGACCCGGCAGAGCAGAACGGGAAAGGAGTAGCGCTCAAATCTGTCACAGCGTTCTTCACGTGGCTACGGGAGGCTGAAGAGGAGTCGGAGGATAATTAAAACTTAAAATACAGAGAGGAAAAAAGAAAAAAGGAAAAAAAAAAAAACAGTTTAAGTATTTTTTTAAAAAGTTTCACGTCTTCGCCAATCACAGTGCAGCAAGGCCAATTCTCGCGCAGACCCCCCCTTCCCCCACACATGCACGAGTGGGAGAGGTAAAAATAGATAAACACAAAGGTGATCACGGAGGAAAAAAGGTACTTGAAAAAAAAAAGTAAACTTCAAACCTGAGGGCGGGAGCACTAAACCAAAATACATGTATTATTTATAGAAAATATTTTCTGTTTTAATCTTTTGTTTTTTCTTTTCTTTTTAAACAAGGACTCATACTTACAAAAACACAAAGCGAAACAGATCTGTTTAGCAAAAAAAAAAGTGAAAACTTTTAATTTATTATTTTAAGGACTGCAAATGCCAGTGTAATTTTTTAATTTGCAGTTTCTGTAAACAAATTGTATAATAGAACAAAAGCAGAGAAATAAATTTCCCTCCCCTTCATATGCACCTCAGTTTTGTTTCAAAGCATGATAAATAGACAAAACTTTCAAGGGGGTTGGGGTAAGCTAGATGAGGAAGAGATCAATTTTTTTTTTAATGCCATCAGAGTTTTCTGCCTGCCTCTCAGCTTGCTTCAGAAATTTAAAAAGAAAATAGTTATCAAAACGTACGTAACCTTGGAGCAGAAGGAAATGCATTTGAGAAAACCGCTGCGGACCAGAGCGCTCTGAAAATAACTCATTCAAAACAGTGCTACCCTGGGGAAAAGTACTAGTGATACTTTCAGAACCTTTAGAGCAACTTTAAGGCTTGTAAATACATAGAACAAATATTTAAAAAAACAAAACAAAAAAAAAACAGAAAAAAAAAGAAATTGACTCGATACTATTTCTTTTCACTTTCAAAATATAAAAGAACAAAATAAAGACAAACATTGCAAGTTTAAAAGAAAGTAAAACGACTTCTCCTTTGACAGCTGCTGAATGTGTGCACCACCTCTGAGCGGTGCTGGCTCCCTTTCCATTGCGTGGATCCTCGGTTCCAGATTCTGTACTTGGCGCGTGCGTATGTGTGTCTACCAAAAAAAAGAGGGGTGAGAGCAATTGTTGTTTTTATTTAAAAAAAAAAAAAGTTTTTGGAAAAAAAAAAGGGGGTTGCTGCTTGGGAGACCCTTTCTGCAGAGAGAACTTACTGGCCGACGAGCAGCAGGCTGGGCTGCGGTACCACAGGGCTGCGTCGCGCTCCCAGCGTGTCACGGCGAGGCCGGGAGATGACCGCAGGGCCAGTTGGTTGCCCGAGACCAACTTGGTTTTTCCTGCCACACGGCCACGGTGTCTCTTGTGTGACTCGCGTCGGTGGCCTCGTCCTGGGGGATTTAGGACCCTGGTAGCTGCGGAGGTCATGGGTGCTCAAGCAGACAACCGAGAGCCTTTCGCCGTGGCGTTGCTGCCCAGCTCGTGCCGCCGCTGCCCTTCGCGCCTGCCCGTTGCCTCGCTGCGCTGAAGGAAGCCGAAGACTCGGACAGGTGGGAACGAAAGTGCCCTATGCAAGCAAATGGAACAAGTGCTGCGGTGCTCCTCTCGGCTCTGCTCACGCTGTGACGGCGTCTGAAGCGCAAGCGCAGCCCGGGTACGGATTAACAGCGGAGGCTTTGCCGTGCAGTCAGAGGTGGGTGTTTTCTGTGCGCCCAAAGGGACCTCGACTGCGCCCGGACGCCATGCAGTCCTCCAAACTGAGCTGCTGCTGCTGAGTACATTAAGTCTCTTGTGTTGTCTCTCTTCAACAACCAAAGATGACCTCTGCTGGCTCTCACTGTGAAGAAGCATCTACCAGAATACACTGCAAAGTCTGTGAAGCCCTCAAGTGTAGTTTGTGAACTGTGGTCCATGGACCGCGAGTAACCTGTGGAGCGTTTGCTGGTGGTCTGTGCGGCACTAGCAGCTCACATGATGCTGTCTTTTACTTTCCAGCTGCTAAGTCACTTCTTTTTTAAAAAAAATACAAAACAAAAAAAACAAACAGGAAAAGCAAGGGGAAAAAAAGGCTACAAATACATTAAATACTTTCCTAATCTTTTACATGTAAACAATTGCTGTACTTGCATAAGGATGTTGTTTGATCACCGAGGGGAAGGGAGGAGGGTGCCTGGTTGTGGCCGGAGGGGAGATGTCCACGAGATGCTTTCCCCGTTAACGAGTTCCACGCCGTGAATCTGAGCTAGAGAATCCGTGGCCTAAAACACTAGAGCATTGTTTAGTGGGTTGGTTTTTTTGGTTTGTTTTTTTTTTTAGTAACAATAAACCACTTTTCTCTGTTTTGTTAAAAAAAAAAAGAAAAAAAAGAAAAAAAGAGAAAAATATTTTCACTCTTTCTATATGCATCTGTACGTATCTGCTTGTATCAGCCGCTTCCCCTCCCGGCCTCACAGGTGGGCCCAGCGGTTTGTTTGGTGACGGATGCTCTCGACATCTCCGAAAGGTTTGTCCGCACGAAACTCCCCCAGGCCCAGCGGGTCCCAAGGTGCCTCCGCAGAAGGTCGTGCCGGTGCTCTTCTTGCAAAAGTAATTTCTGAGGCGGAACGTGAGCGGGTACGTGATGGTTTGTAGCACGGATGCGAGTTTGTATGTAAATGAAGCCAAATATTTGCCAAGTCGGTGTGTGCACCTGATGAATTTCCTCTCTGAGGATGAGCAGTGTCAGATCCTGCTGGGAACGCGAGTGTGAGAACATGGAGCTGTGTGAGGACTGTGATTTATTTATCAATCGACTTGAATCGAAAAGGAAGAAATTGCTCTAGGGCCTTTGAACAGCCACATGAATCAAAGTGTGTCAGGGCAGGAAAATTTGTTGGGAGCTTGAATCTTTTGGCTGAATGAGTCGGAAAACTGCTTCTCAGAGGGAATGGGAAGGGTGAGCCTGTGGATAGAGGAGAGATGAGAAAGTCTTTCCCCTGCTTGTTTGAGCCGTTGGTGTTTCAGGGGGTGAGAACTTGCCCTGTGTCCTGCAAACACCAAGAAGGGAGTTTTGTGAAGGTTTAAGGTGTGTTGGGGTGGTTTTCCAAATTACCCAGAGGCTCTGAACAGGCAGCTTTGCAGCATGGCAAGCTTTGCATTTTCTGAAGCTCCGCGTTGGGTACTGAGCAGTGCACGTACGAGACCGTGAGGTCTCCAGCCAGGAGTTTGTTAGAGCTTCCCACAGATGTTGCCAATATGTGGGGCACCAGTCTTGGAATGAAACTGGTGCCTCTGCTACCCTCATGCTGTTTGCAGCGTGCTTACCTGTGACCGGACTGAGATCTGGTGGGTTTTCCGTCACCTCCTAGATCACCACAGCTTTTACACACTGTTCTGGCTCCTCAGGGTGCAGCCCATGGTCCCAGAAGATCTTTACAATATGTCTTCTTCTGGAGGGTATTAAAATACAAAGAAAAACCCTATAAGAGATACATGAAATGGAAAAGGGGGATTATTAATAAAAAGGAGTTCTGGTGAGAATGTAATTTGTGGGAGCCTTGTTTTACGTAAGGGAAGAGAGGTGAGCAGTGGTTACTCCTCCCTAAGGTTACAGCAAAGCCTGAGCAGGGAGGACAGCAAATTTCCACCAAGAATACTAAATGTTTTGAGTGTTTTGGGTGTTTTTTCCTCGCAGTGTTGGTCCTAGAAGCTATTTTAACACATCTGGGCAGGCTCATGAACATGGTGGGGAGTTAATGCAGCTCAGCACGAAAGACCTGCATTAGAAGCCATTTCACTGCTGGGAGCCCTTTTTGCGCTGAGGCTGTGCACGCTATCAAAGGAGGAGCAGACGCATCACTTAAATCCCTGTTTATTGCTGAAAATGTCCCAAACCTGAAGCAGTCAAACAGCAAATTTCCAGGCCAGGTGTGTGCTGAAGGCTGGCTTCTTTCTAGGAAAGTGTTTCCAGAAACAGATCAGCCATTCCTGTGAACAAAGTCTGGGAATACACCAATACCAGGCGTTGTGCTCTCTCTGCTTGCATTAATGTGTTCAGGTTTTAACCTTATTTTCTCAAGAAGCATCGGGTCCAGGAGCAGACCTTGGGGTGTGGAAGAACCTTTTGCCCAGGCTCAGCCCTCCATGGTGCAGGAGCTGGTAGCCAAAGAGGCAGTGAGGCAGGAGAGGCTCAGGGGAAGGGAATTCCTCTGCAGAGATGGTCTTTAGCAAGCACAAAGCGGGTTTAAGCCAGTGGTAACTTAGCTTGTCGTTGCTGCGTTCCTGTGACCCACGGAGCTTGTGGTTCCAACCTTTTTTTTCTGGTAAAGGAAGAACAGGGCCTCTAAAAACTCCCGTTACCTAGTAGAGCATCCTGAAGATGTTTAAAACCAATTGCAGATGCATCTCATTGTCAGAATGATGGCTGTGATTCCTCCTGCTGTGTTTTGTTCGGGACGAGTCATTTTTTACAGACGAGGGGACCTGAAGCTGGTTGTCTTGTCAGAAGCATTTGCTGCAAGACAGAGCTGCTGCAGCCCTGCCCTTGGCACTGCTCACTTTTGTTTCACAGACACCAGAGTGTTCAGATTTGGGGGCAGTAAGCTCAAAATCAGATCCCCTGCCCCAAACACTCTTCTGCCCTTAGGTCCAACACCTTTAGGCGAGTTGGCTGCTGGTCGTGGGTTGGTACGTGGTGGTGGCAGTGGGAGTGGATCGGGATGGCCAAGCACTACGTGGGGATGGTGCCATCAGGAGATGTTCAGGCTGGCAAGTGCCCCGAGCTCCTGCTTTACGCAGCTGGTCTGGCAGGGAGAGCTTGGCCTTTTTGCTCTTTGGAAGATGTTGGCCCTCTGCTGCTATCCTTCTCCTAGGCCAGCTGAGCAGCACCTCCAGCCAAGCAGCGTCAGCAGGAGCGCGAGCTCTTTGTGCGCTGCTTTCTTTTCACAAGACACCAACCTGGAGGCTTGTGCGAGATGCCACACGCTGGTAGAAATTCCCAAGTTCGATGTGGCCCAGGTGCCTCGTACAAGCCAACGTAACTCCCAAGTTCCCTACCCTTGTGTTTCCCAAGGGGCTCTGCTTCCCACCGGCAGGTAACCATCACGGATCTGTTGTCTGCTGCAATAACTCCTGCTTACTGGAATGTTGCTGTAGGGATGCCCAGCCGCCATCTGTGGAAGGCTGTGGTCATGCGACACCAGTTTCTCATTTCCAGCTGCTAAATTGCGCTGAAACAGCAACAGAAAGACAACCAGCTCCCTCTCCATTCAGTGCTTTCCAAAGGGGAATTTGGCCAAGTGTGCAGTTGCTGTCCCAGCTGCAGGGGTGGTTGTGCTGTGGTTGCAAATTCAAAAGAGGAGAGGGGGCTTAGGGAAGGCTTTCGGTTAGGAAATCTTTGTATTACTGAGCAAGAGAACGGTGAAGGCTGGCTCTCGCACGCTCGGTCTTCTGTTGCAGGAAGGAAAATCAGTCATTTTGGTGTTGCAGCATGAGATGTTCTGAAATAATGCCTGGTGCAAACGCTCTGTGCTGTTAGTGACAGCCGAAAGTGAATAATCTGTCAGTCCCAGCCACCTCCCTTTTGGGTCTAAGTGTGCTGGGAAATGGCATATGTCACCAGGAGCGGCTGGCCAGAGAAGGGAGTGGACACTCGGCCACTTTGGCGCTCTGCAGGGTTGCAGCACCACCACTGCATGGATTTATGGTGATGGGCACAGCAAGCGGCTCCATCCTCCTGCTGCACAGCCCTGCTGGGGGTGTTCTCTCCACTCTAGGAATTTCACACACCTGCACAACAGGGAGTCGAGTGTTTTAGCCACCCTCCAGGAAGCACATCTGACTCTTGAGGCCTCCTCCAGCATCACAAGGTGGATATTTTGAGCTGGAGCGTGAGCTGTGGCTGACACATCCTGAAGAAAAGCCAACTGACAAGTTTTCCTGCGGAGAGGTGAGCAGGCCAGCACTAGTGCTGACCATACATT